TATGTATAAATATTGGCTTGAGCTATTGGTTGGAATCTTAAGATGTTAGCATAAGATAAATGATTAAATGATAGTGGTGGTAGTAGTGGTAGTGGTGGTGGTGATGGTGATGATACTTTATTAATTGTGAATAAAGCATAAGAAGAGTTAATGTGGCCTGTTATGATTGATGATTGAGGATGGGTTACAAGGAAGCATAAGGATACATTGAAATTTGTCAAATGGTATAATTGACTGAAGGATATTTGGAACATAATTGATTTTGGTATTTTCTTTAATGTTGTTTGGAAATTAAATTGTTATTATCTTGAGGAATATGGAGTTGCTTATAATTTACTTTGTATTATGTTTTTAAAGTATTTAGACATGGAATTTAGTGAAGGTAAGACTGTTTAATTTTCATATTAGGATCTAGAGGAATTATAAGTGAAACTTGAGGAAGTATGTCTTTACATATATAAGTTGTAAGGTTGGACTACTCATTAAAATCATGTAGCACCTAAAGGAAAATTGTTAAACTCTATGGTAATTGTGATTTTTGTTAAGTATGGGATAAAGTCTGTGTTTATGAAGTTAAATGTTGCCAAGTGTTGTTGTACTATTTGATAAAAGTTATTTAGAGGGTTCAGTGAGAGGTTAAGGGGTTAATAAGAAATTTAAAAAATTATTGAAGAGATTGAATGTACATTTTGCTTGCTTATTATAAGAAGGGAAATCATAATGACATAAGGATTGTTGGTTTATGTGCTAGATTATTAGTGACATCATTGAAGTAAGGAGAATTTGAGAGAGCCTAATGATAGGATTCTTGGAAACCCTCAAGTGTGTGTGGTAGCACTCCAATTGTGTAGTTATTAAAGATTTTTTTTTTCATAAATTCTCTTTTTTAAATCTTTACTATCAATTCTTCATAATTTATGAAATCTTCATTTCCTATCCTTTTTTTATCATAAATGATGTATGATTAAAAAGTTTTATTCTTTTTTATTTATTTATGTGTTTGATGCAAGCTTGGTAAAAGAGCTTTTGAATATGATATGTGATGGATTACTCATTTCATTCCAAACAATCCTATTATTTAATTCTATAAAACAACTAGAAATTTGAAATTATAGAACACCCCAAATCCTACACTATCAAGAATTTAAAAATATTGTGGAAAAAATAATCACAAAAATATTTAGGAAATTTATCTAGCCTTAGATTGTTTCAAATCATTGTCCAAGTATCATATATAGTAGAACCTACCTTTAAAAATCTCTTCCCGGATGACACCCCTGTTCGCGTTTGCAAAGCGCAACTCTTTCTTTACTACTAGTGATGAGCAGAGAAATGAAATGAATGTGGGGGAAGAAAAAAAATTCTTAATTTTTTGTTCTAAGCCTAATTTTCCTTCTATAGTACTCTTCTTCAGCACCTTCTTCTTCAATACCCAAAAAAATACCATAATATCTCTAAGACAGGAAGGATTTTAAGACTTAAAATTAAGATGTTTGATCAGATAGTCTCACCAGCTACCTAAAATAGAGAAGCTAGGATTTCATGATTGGTAAAGGAAGTGCATCCTGGTCTCATTCTTTTAACGCAATATGTGTTGTCTTGTGAATTAATGTTCCAGTGGCAACCAAGATGAAGAAGGCCAACGAAGAGAATCTTGTGGAGGAAAACCCTGGCAAAACCTTAGACCCCACTATTTCTCTCGCCGCCAGAATTAGAGCATGAGCACGAGAAGAAAATTCAAAACGAAAAACAAAAATTAAACTGCTTAAAAAATCGAGTAATCAAACACGAACTGATGAAACATGAAAGCATGTAGAATTTGGTTAATTTGATATGAACTTATAAAGAGAAGGTTGTTCATCTTGATTAGATCAAAACGGCCAAGAGGACAAAAAAGAAATATAAAGAGAGATTATGTAAACCAAGAAAAGGGAAACAATAGAGAGACCACAAAAAAAAAAAAAAAAAGAAAAAAATCGAGCTCTTCGGAAATGACTTGCATGTGCACTTTCATGTTCTCCTTATCAATCACCCCAGCATGAGGTCTTTCATGATCTTCATCATCTAACAAGAACTCTGTTTGATCTGAATCTAGGAATTCGATCACTCATTTGCAAATTGGGTCGTCAAATTCCAGGATTTCGGCTATGGACTCCATAACCGGCGTTCGCCTTATGCTCACGTCCTTCTCGCTCCGACAGCTCAACAAAGACACCCCGTTTCAAGATGAACCTTTTCATTTTCATTTCTCTGCCTTGTGTCTCCCACTGTCATACACAAAGGAGATGAAATAGAAGTTTGGACAAGTAACCTCAAAGTTCGGGACGAATGAAAAGCAACAGTTAGAAAGCAGCAACTTAACTTTTTCTCTAGCGAATGATCTTATCCTTGTTATGGAAAGATTTATATGAAGTTTTTATGTCATGCTATGAGTTATTAAATTCTTTATGTGAAGTTCTTCCACGATGCCATGATATGTTTATGTCATAAAGTTTTATGCTAGTTGTAAGTATGTTGTATATCATGCAATACTTGTTAGTTGTGTTCAATGTTTGAATGGATCATGTTATGTGGAATGGTTATGTTGCTATTGAGATATTATGTCTCACTCCCAATTACTAACCATATTAGGTGGAAAGCTAATAAGAACAAGAAGGAAGAAGAATTCAAAGTAAGTGGCACTAGATTACCAAGTTGGAGACTCATGTTTAAAATCACATGTAAATTCATGAGTTATGTAAATTCACATAAAAATAATGTTGATCTTTGAAATGGCTAGAGTGATCAAGTTTGAGTTAAGCTTTAGAAATTTCTCGCAGCCATTATTTAAGCATGTAAGTGTCAAACTGTTCTGATGCAGGATTTTCTGAATGTCCAATACTGTTTCATTAAAACGTTTACAGTAAATAGATTCTTGACTTTGATAATTTGTATGCATAATCTAGACATCCTAAGATTTCCAGAAATTTCAAAACCTAATCAATTGGAGCTCTATTTCTTGCTTTATTAATTTTCCAATTGAAGGGTCAGAATCAGTCTTGAAAACAGAGCAATTTAAGAGAATGTATTAACTGTATCAGTTGGCCCAATTAAAGTCTTGTTCCTTATTTTTATCATGTATAGGACTTGTCAAGATTTAAAATGAGATAAGAGTCAGATAAAAATAAATTTTATAGAATTAGTTATGAATTTTTAAAGTTAAGGAGCATAATAAGTTTCAGAAATAGAACAGTTTTGGAAAATGATTAAACTATACTTTTTGGAATGAAAAGGATTTAAAATGTATTTTTATCATGTAAAGGACTTCAAGAGATTTCAAGCTAAGTTTAGTTCATTGTCATACAAATTCTCTAGATTTAGTTATGATTCTTTTAAAATTCATAAACTTACCAAATGTGCAGTACGTAACCCGATAATTAATTCGTGAATTTTAATTCATGGGCTCTGATTCCCATTTTGCCTGAATCATATTGCTTTCCATTGCATGGTGAAGTGTTAAAAGTGAGAATGTAATAAATTCCAACGCAAAATGTAATGATTGGTTATGATTGGGACACGTGATGATTCTCATATATTTCAACATGTCCTCACAACGATGAACTTCCCACGTCTGCCTTTAGGTATATTTATTTTTTTACAATTTATTTGTCTTAGACTTCAAATTACAAACATTGACATTGATCTCATTTTTTATAAACTAAATACTATTTGGTAGATGCTGGTTATCCAACACCAAATGGATGTGTTGGATTGTATAGATGTAATTGCTATCATCTTTCTAATTTTGGGAGATCATCTTCATTTGCAAGCATTAATGAAGTCTTCAATTATTATTATTCAAATTTAAGGTACACATTAGAAGGAACTTTTGGAGTTTGGAATAATAGATTTGCAATTTTATGCTATATGCCTAGCTATGATTGTGATACACAAGTCCAAATTATTGGTGCAATAATGGCAATATATATAATTTCATTAGAAAGCAATCTGATTTTGATTATGAATTTATGCGTTGTGAAAATGAACATCACGTATAGCATGAGGATAATGAGCATGTTGGTGAATATTTATCTTTGCCTTCATTTACAGCATCTTCATTACATATGGCTCAACTTTGTGATGTCATTAGAGATTAAATTATTTATTATCTCCATGGCAATAAGTCATTGTCAACTTATGTTTAGTATTTAAGAATTATATTTGTCTCTTTTATTAAATTTATTTCAAGTTAGATACGTTGACGTATTTTTTTTATGTAGATTTATTTTATCAATATTACATTATTAAAATCTAGTGAAAACAATTATTACATTATAAAAATGGATGTTACTTATTGTAATTTACATATTTAAAATTGATTCTAAAAAGTTATTTAAATATCTTCAATTTTATCAAAATTAATTTTTGAAACACATTCTGGTAATCAATTTTTTCCAAATGAAATCCAAACACACCCTAAAGCTTTTGGCAAAAGGAATGAAATTAATGGTCTTTCTCAGTCGAAATTTAAAGGACACAATTAAGCAAAAAATTAATTAATATTATATTGAATATATATATATATATATATAATAAGCCCATTCCATGCTGTGTATATTCTAGTGATTGTACAGCCATAAACATATGAATTGATAATAAATTTCACGAACTTGAAATTATATCCTTGTTAAAGCTTTAATTTCTATACGATTTAACAGTAGTGAGTTGGGGAAGAAAATGAACAAGAATTGAAAGTCTAATAATAATGGGAAAAGGAATTAATGCTAATATTATTATTAGTGTATATATGAGCATCCAAGCCAAAAGGACAAGCCAAGGTTCAAGGTTGTCAAGAAAATAAGAGGTGGCCCTTGGAGATCTCCCTTACGCAGCTAAAGGAATATGAAAACCAACCGAACAAATGAAAAAAAGGTGGCAAAGGGAGGCCAAGTGGTTGAGGGAGGGTTGACACATGCACAACAACATCTCACAACAATTGATAACACTATTCTAATTAAGTCAATCCTAAAATCTAAAATTCACAACTCACAACGAAACCAAAATAAACCCGAAAAAACAAAACAAGAAGAAAAAGCACCACCACCACATGCTTCTCATCACCATTATCTGGGCCTTGGCTCTCTCGTCCCTTCCGATTTGCTAATGGGCGCGCACGCCGCTTTGCCTGTGCGCGTTCCGGCAGCAATTTACTCCGTTCTTGTTGTTGTTCTTTTACTCTCGTGGTCGTCTTCGTCGTTGTCCAGCTCCGATGCCGAAGCTCTCTTGAAGTTCAAAAGCTCTCTCAACAATGTCGTCGCTCTCAGTAACTGGGATCCCGGCGTCAACCCTAAGCCGCCCTGCACCGGCAATAACCCCAACTGGATCGGCATTTTCTGCATCAACGACACCGTTTGGGGCTTCCGTCTCGAGAACATGGGCCTCATGGGCACCATCGATGTTGAAGCTCTTGCTTCCATGCCACGTTTAAGGTCTATTAGCTTGATGAACAATACCTTCGTCGGTCCTTTGCCTGAAATTAAGCGCATCAAGAATTTGAAGTCAATTTACTTATCGTACAACCATTTCACCGGCGACATCCCCGACGACGCGTTTGAGGGTATGAATATGTTAAAGAAAGTTTATTTGGCAAATAACCAGTTCACCGGAAAAATCCCTTCCTCCCTTGGCGTCTTGCCTAACCTCCTCGCTGTCAGGCTTGACGGCAACAAGTTTCATGGTCGAATCCCTAATTTTCAAAATAGCACGTTGAAGCTTATCGACTTTTCTAACAACGCTTTGGATGGCCCCATTCCAGAGAATCTAACATCTTTCAGCGCCTTCGCCTTCTCTGGTATGTGTGTGTGTGTGTGTGTGTGTGTGTGTATAACAAATGGATTATTTAACGTTACGTTTTGATCAATTTTGAATCAAATACATGTAAATGCAGGGAACGTACATTTATGTGGACCTCCTCTGCAGAATCCTTGCGCTTCAATCCCCTACGCCACCATGGATTCTCCAACAAAGACAGCGATTCTCAAGATTCTACTAATTTTAATTCTGACATTACTGATCATAGTGGTGATCAGTTCGGCGATCGTGATAGCCCGCCTGAGGACGAGCCGGCGATATGCCGAGGATTCGGTCTCGGGGTTCCAAAGCCAACCTTCTCTGAAGTATGCTCCTCCTGCATTCACGAAAGCAAAAAGCATAGATCATCATGACAGTACGAAGCTTCTTGCTGGACAAAACAACACAAATTATCAGAACACAGCATCCATATCGAAGAAAGGGGAATCAGGGAAGCTGATATTTGTGAGGAATCGGGAGAAGAAGTTTGACCTGCAAGATTTGTTGAAAGCGTCGGCGGAAATTCTGGGAAGTGCTGCGTTTGGGTCATCGTATAAGGCAGTGATGAAAGACGATCAAGCTGTGGTGGTGAAGAGGTACAAGCAGATGAATAATGTGTCGAGAGATGAGTTCTTTGAGCACATGGCAAGACTAGGCGATCTATCTCATCCCAATCTTCTTCCTCTCGTTGCTTATTATTACAGGAAAGAAGAGAAGCTCTTGCTCTCTGACTTCGTTCCCAAGGGTTGCTTGGCCAGCCAGCTTCATGGTAATTATTACTAATTACTAAGCTCTAAATCTGTAGGTATATGTGTGGGGATAACCAGTTAATTTGCCATTATTTCGCCTATTATTTTGATAATCATGTATATTTTTATTTAAATCTCCGCAATTGAAATCTATGAATTATGCGATGTTTGTTTTTTTTTCGAATTTTTTTTATCATTTTATTATTTTTTATAACATATAAAATACTTTCTTCATTTTTTAAAGGAAAAAACAGAAATTCATAGATTTTAACTTCAGCGAAGTTAAATCCATAATATCTCAAGGGTTTACCAGTAAATAATATATATATATATATATATATTTTGCAGGTAGTCTAAACTTTGAGAGTTTAGTGATGTATCAGGTTTGGTTAATAAAATTACAGACTAATTAACAATAGAGGATTGTGTTTAGGAATTTATTGCAAATGTTAAATTAGTTATCATCTGTAGATAACTCAATAATCAGAAGAATTTTGGGTAATCTAACCCAACATTTATTGCTAATAATATAGAATGTGTGTGTGTACATGTGTGTAAAGTTTAACCAAATCAAACTAGTTATATAAATTTTAGACTTATGAATTAATCGTGTCGTTGATATGTGTACAGGAAATCATAATAATGAACGGCCAGGCCTTTGTTGGCCAACTCGGTTGAAAATTGTGAAAGGTGTAGCGAGAGGTTTATCATACCTATACAACGCATTGCCATGCCTCGTAGTGCCTCATGGTCATTTGAAATCTTCCAATATTCTATTGGACGAATCATACGAACCATTACTCACAGATTACGCTCTCATTCCAGTGATCAACCTAGATCATGCTCAACAGATCATGATGCCCTACAAATCCCCCGAGTACGCGCAACTCGGCCGGATCACGAAGAAGACCGACGTGTGGAGCTTCGGCATCATGATTCTGGAGATCTTAACTGGGAAATTCCCGGAGAACTATCTCACTAACAGGCATGACACCAGCTCCGATATCGCTAGTTGGGTTAACAGCATGGTCACCGAGAAGCGTACTGGCGAGGTTTTTGACGTTGAGATGGGAGGGGCAGAGAATAGCAAGAGCGAATTGCTCAAGCTTTTGAAAATTGGGCTGAGCTGTTGTGAGGAGAATGTGGAGAGAAGATTGGACATGAAGGAAGCTCTTGAGAAGATTGAAGAGTTGAAGGATGAGAATTATGATGGAGATTTTTCTTTGATTGTCACTAGCGAACGAGATGCTTTTCAAGCTATATGATTCACGTTGGACTTTGACTATTCGGATTTTCTGAGGTTAAGAATCTGAATCAAGATGGTGAAATTTAAAGGCAAAGTATCAGTACTATATATCTGTGTGTGTATATAGTATTGGTCTTTAATTTGCGTTTGTGTCTTCACCTTCTTTGTAACTTCGGAGTTTGTTCTCCGGTTGGACTTTTGCATGGAAGCAACTATGTACGTACAGAAATCTAAAGTGAATCCATGCCCCAAAAAACACAAAACTGAATATGTGATACCTCTAATTAACCTCGCTGCTATTTTTTGATTAATTAGTTTATTTTTCTGATCTGTGCAAATTTTGTTGTTTTGTAATTAGGCAACTCTGGTGATTTAATTTCTCTAACTATCTTCTTGTTGTAATCACTTCGCATAGAACTAGTTGGGTTTAAAGTTCTCTAACTTGTCTGATCTCGTTTGACTTGTCTTCCACCGTGGGAAAAACAGCTCTCGGTGAATTATATAAAAGAAAACAAAATCTTTTTCTATGCAATTTATAAGATAAACAATAATTAGCGAATAGAAATTTTTTTAACGCAATAGATATTATCCAAATAAAATTTTAGATGCAAAATTCAAAATTTTTTGGAAATTGTTATGAAATGTGCGGCGAAGAAATAAAGATCAAGGGATGAGAGAATTTCCTTAGATTATTATACTTTACAATGCAAATAACATGTCCTATTGATCTTATATCAAAGGTTACGCTCATGATTGAGCATAGGTTTAATGGAATAATGACGGTGAGAGTTTCATGGTTAATGATAAAGAGGTGAGGAAAAGATGAACATCTATACCTTTGATATTCATAACACTATCCATTGATTGCCCATTATATAACAATATGCGTCATTAAAAACATCAATAAGGAAACACCTTGTGGTGTAATATAGGATTTAATTTAGGATATTAGTTAGGGTTATCTGTTAGGTATTTTAAATAAAGATATTCATCCATTAAAATCATGATTTATGATTTATTTTATTATTATCTTATATATTAGTATCTTTAAGATTAGGTTTATATTTAGAATTTGATATTTGAGTTTAAATTATTAGCATTATCATTATTATTATTATTTTATTTTAGGGATCTATAAATAGAATTTGAAGTTTTCATTTGTATCTAGTTTTGAGTATTAAATAATAAGAGTTCTTATTTTCCCAACCTCCTCCTTTTCTTTCTGTCTTTCTTTTTCTTTTTCTCTTTCCCTATTCCTCTTCTTGTTTTACATCACCTTGTGGGATAAAAACCCTGCAAAAGAAAAGAGTATAACATTACTAAGGAAACCCAACAGGACAAAACCTTAATTAAGAAAAAAATGGTGTAGCATGTAGTTACTTATTGAGATGACAAAACACTTTTAAATTAGTGTGTACTTCACGATATATTAATTTCTCAAATGTGACTATTGTCAATATTTTTCAGGAAGATCTTACTTATGGTTGAATCATGTTAGATGCATTGTTATCATATAATTTTTGAAAATATAGTTCTCTAACATATTTTTAAGATATACGCTCTCTCAAAATATCATATTTCTGTTTCAATTTCTATTAATTCACTCGGAACCTAAGCTTGCTAACAAAAATATAACAAATTATAATATAAGAAGATATGTAAATATTTATAAATATATGATACTTCAAGATCAATCAATTCAGTATATTCTCGCAGACAAAATAAACATGTTATAATGATTTTATAACCGGTGGGTATTAAATACTCAATCAACTTGAATGAAAAAATTGGTATCAAAATTTTATTCTCAATTTTTTTTATCAAAACCTATCATTTTCAATATATATATATATATATATATATTATTTTAATTCATACAAGCTTAAGAACTCTCTCATACGCACATGCATGCTAAATAATTTTTTTCAGGAATTGTTGTCATTTTAACTCCTCCAAGAATTATTATATAAATTTTAGTATTTAGTGAGTCATATGCATAGCTAATAATAATAATATTAAATAGACGAATAATATTGTCAATTTATTATACTGGTAAACTAATGATATATTATAAAAATCCACCATCTAATAACATACTTGTTCATAATCACCTTTAGACATTTGTGAAAAATCTTATTTTCACATAAATGTTCGTTTATCCAATAACTTTACACTTCAAGTGTTTGAATTACAAGTCCATGATTTTCATATATTAAGAATGAATGTAATTCTACTGCCATTGTGTCCTTTCCATTGCTTTTTACCAGAGCCGATAAGTTAGGCAAAATTCCTAAAAGATTGTCAACGAAGTAGCAATACCCTCACTTGTTCTCATTAGTATGTTATTTCATTGGTTATTCAAATTTTGAGGGCAAAATTCCTAAAATAAGGAGAAAGTTAGAACATCCAAAAATTGTAATCCCAAATTATTAAATTAAGAAAGGGTAAATTATTAATTTGGCAAATAAGTTAAGTTAAGAGTGATTAAAGATGACTAATGGGTTCATTGAATTTGTTGATAGCCTAGGAATTAAGCATGGGGGTGTATTGGGCCACTTGGGCCCAATTGGAAGAGTTAAAATTCAAATTTGGACTTCTGTACCATCAGGCGTAATGGAACATGCGAAATATAATATAATTAGATTCATGTTTGAGCTGGAGAAAGGAAAGAGGAGTGGAGAGAATGAGGGCACACGATCTCAAGGTTGCTAGGGTTCATCATATATGGCTATTGGATATAACTGGTAATATAGGTTGAGCCCACAAGTTCAACCAACCAACCCACAAAAAAGTGTGAATTGGATTAAAAAAAAGGGCTCAATTCTATGTGATGCGGTCTTGGTTAGCTTCACATAACTTGAACATGTAATAAGTTAACTTGTGAGTTGGTGGGTTAGCTTGCTTATTATTTTTTTTAAAAGAAGGCAAAAATTGCATAATTGTTCTCAATTTTCAAACATGTCAAAATTTAAAAATTGAACCAACCAAAGCAGTTTTGGATAATTAATTTCTAAAATTTTAAAATTTTTTTAATATTAAATTGGGTCATAAGATTAAATTTATATTATCCAGATTGATAATGAAATAACTTTATTAATGTATCATAATTTTTATTTTTAAAAATATTTTTTATAATGGCCATATGTTTGATTAGAAGAAATCTTCATTAAAAAAAGGTTCAATTTTTAGATTGATATTTTGACAGTTTTTTCAAAAACTATTTTGATGATAAGTTTTATAATAAAAGTTGTCCGATATCGTTTCATATAACGTACGTACACATATTCATTAGTTCTGAAAATAAATACAAAAGCTTATTTTTTAAGACTTATCGATAGAGAGAGAGAGAGAGAGATATATATATATATATATAAAATAACGAACAAAAAAATGCATACGCGCGCGCGCATATAATTTACTTTTCATAACTTCAGTGACATTATGTTTCTTGTTGTGTGCATGACAACTGACAAGAATTATAAGCTGATCAATCACGTTGTTCATAGTATACATAAGAAAAAATTTTACATTTTATATTAATATTTATACAAATAAGAATATTTTCTTCGAATTTCTTACTAATTTGTATGGTCGTTATCTTCAACTAGATTCATTTAATTTTTTTTAATGGATTGCTCAAAGACTTTGCACCTTCTAGAGTGGTCCTATGTAAAGAATCAACATGAGTTTCCTTTGTCTTTAATATTTTAAATTGATCGATATTTATGATTTATATGTTTGGTATAATTTTCAATTTGTATTTTTTTAATAATTTAGAAGAATTTTTATTGTTATTTGGATAATTAATTTTTAGGGAGAAAATATGATTTTTTTACCACAAAAAAACAATAAAAAAGTGAATTTATAATTTTTATAATTAAATATATATATAAAATATTTTTTATTTGTAGGTTAGCTTGCTGAACCACCAACCCATTGCAGGTTGGTAGAAATACAACCCGCACAAGATACGGGTTATGTCAACTCACCCCACCAAACCCGCAACTAACTCTACTATTGGAGATTATTTGTGTAACATCTCAAAATTTAATCTTATAATTTATAAATTAATTGAGGATAAATTAGTAAATTATAGTATTAATTGAGTTAATTAATTATTTTTTTTCAAATCGCTAATAGACTCATTAGAATGTTGGGCAACCTTAAGATAAGTCTATGATGGTTATTGCACCAAGCAGGCCGAAGTGAAGAACCCAAACCCATGTATAGGGTTTTTGTGCCATCCTTCATGACCAATGCATAGTGCGCTGTGGTGAATGGGCAATTTTGGAATTAAAACACAAGAGCTCCAATAAAAAAAAAATCAAAAGGAAAAGTTGGAGTTCGACAAGAGAGTTAAAGGGCTCTGCTAAGGCACACAAGAATCATCTATAAGGTATTTATTTGGAGTTCAAATTGCATGGGTAAGCTTCATATCTTCTTTCTCTCCTATTCAATGTGATTTGTTACTAGGTTTTGAGATGGTGGAAGATGATTTTAGTTTCTTAGGGTGTTATAATCAAACCCATTAACTTAAATGAAGTCTTTGGAAATTAAATTAAGTTTCTATACTTCAGGTTAGTGATTTTGTAGAGTTTTATGGTTGGGCTTAATGGTTTGGATGAACCCTAGCTTGTAAATGGATGTTTGAGAGTAATGTGAACTATTAATTAATGTTGTTTAACCTTGTGGGAGTTAAATGGAGCTAATGAAAAGTCATTAAGGTTTTGGTTATGCCAAAGATGGGAGTTGTACATTTAAGATAGCTAATTAGAGTGAAAAAGTGTATGTTTTAGAATTGGAAATTGGCAAAGTAGTCTTTAATAAGTAGATTGTTGTTGCTTGGGAACTCATTGAGTAAGAGGAGGCTCTAGGAGTTGTTAAATCTAAAGGTAACTCTTTTTATTAACAAAAAAATTGAGGTAACTAGATGAACTAAACTTGCCACATGTTTGCTCGGATTGTTTGTGATTGTTAATTGCTATTTTGATTATATATATATATATAGAAAATTACGTTTTGCCTTATAAAATTATGTGAAGTGGGAAATGGTTTTAGAAAGAGTTATATATTTGCAAAAACATTTCCAAGCATAATTATGTTAAAGGTTGATCATGATTGTGTTGTGGTATGAAATGAATATGTAAGCGTAAAGATAATGCATATTGACATTCTAGGGTGATATATCAAGTCCAAATGGTACCCAATGATACCAAGCACTAAAAAAAAAAAAATCAATTTTCCATCTCTAGTCGATACAAATTTTGTCCCTAAATTGGTTAGCAACAGAATAATTTTTTGGTTAAAACACCGTCCTTAGTTCATTAG